CGATTTAAGGAGTCGGAGGCGGCGAACCTCAGCGCGCTCGGTCCGTTCCTCGTCGCGGCAGGTGGAGCAGCTTCGGGGGCAGCGGCTCATTTTCACCTCCTTTGTTTCCCAGTTGATCTCGGGGTTATGCTTTTTGAGCCAGGAGTACCCGAGTATCAAGTCCTGTTTCCCGAGGTGGGTTACAGCCAGCTGAACGCGTTCGGAGTGTCCGTTGTATCGTAGGACCAGGTCCGCGATTTGGCGAATAGACCCAGCATCATTGGGGGTGCTGTCGACATTGTAGACCGGTAGGGGTACTGAGAGATTTCGGACTGGCACGTTGTTTCGGTTGACGTATTCTGTGTCGATAAAGTCCGAAGTGGCTCCGCAGTCGACCAGACCTGAGAGGGAGAGCTTGAGTGCGTTCGCAGTGGACTCAAGCTCAAGAGGAAGGTGGAGCGAGTTAACCCCAGGGGCGGCAGAGATGGTATAGCTGCCAGGTAGCTTTTTCTCCCAGGCAAGTCGGCGAATCCGAAGGGGGCTTCGGAGGGGGCAGGGGGTGCGTCTTTCGTTTCAGGCTCGTTGTAAGGCAAGGGAGTTGATTCATCATACAAACAAGTGAAACGATTTATGGACGCGAACGAGGGCACACCAGTCACTCGTCGCGGGGGACAAAATCCTCTGCCGGAGCCTCCGAATGCGCCTCTGCTAAGGCCGCGGTGTCGGACAACCGCGCAAGTAGCTCTCCCAGCATCTCATCGCCAAGTTGCTGGATCACCTCGTCGAGGATGTCCATATGGCGAACATCGGCGGGGAGCGGACAGTCCCGAGCCAAGTGATTGGGGTCGCCGCATCTGAAGCAGGCTCGACGAGGGGCGCCCGAGCCCTAGTACGATCCAACTCCATAGGGACGGGAGCCGGAGGTACCGGGACGGGGCGCGGGCCGCGGGTGGCGCAGGTGCGGCCACCGGGCGGATGGGGAACGGAGTTGCCGAACGAGTGATGGGGAAGGCGCCGCGGAGCTCCCGAAGCGGTCCGGGGGTAGCCGTTCCCTTAATGAGCTTCGCTCGCACCAGGGCTTCATATTGTCGGAAAGCCCGAGTGCGCCAGCCCAGATAGTCACGGAGGTCTGGGGGGTCGTTCAAGACGTGATGCCGTTGTTGATCAGGGGGTCAAGTCCGTGGCGGTACTTGGTTACCTTAACCAACGCGTCTTGAAGCCAGCGAGGTCCATCAAGTCCTCGAAGTCGTCGGTGTATCCGTAGACATCCCGCTTCCCATGTGATAACCCGCTTTCCAACTTAGCGAGCGCGAGGTCCTGTTCGTTCTCCTCAACGAACCAAGGCGAAACTCGGAGAGGAACTGGCTCCACCGAGGGAAGGGGAAGGGGTTTTTGCTCCCATGACGCTCTGCCCATTGCTGAGCAGGTCCCTCCGCCATATAGGACATGGCGTAGCGGACGGCCTTTTCTTCGCTCGGCTCTCCGTTGACCACAAAGGCCTCCGGGGCAAGGCGAGCGTAAGTCTTGACCGCGTATAGGAAGGCGCGGCCGCGTTTGCGATCCCCGTTAAACGCAAACGGAGGGTTTGGTCGTAAGACCAGTTTTGAGGCGACAGTAATATCACCAAATAACGCATCCGCGTCGGGGGCATTCGGAGATGCCGAAGGCGGTTCGGGAGCTGCCGAAGGTGGTGCGGCAGCGGAAGCCTGGGAAGCAAGGTGGGTGAGGATATTGGTGAGGTTGTCTAGTTTCGCCTCAAGTACGTCCATGCGCGCGTCAGCGTCCGGAGCAGCTCCGGTGGACATAGCGGGCGTGAAGACGACAAGAGCAGAGGAGGAGGGGTCAAGTGGCAGGGGCGGTGGACGAGGGGGGTACGGACTCGTACTCCGAGCCTGAATCAGCGCCAAACCTGGCAATCTTGACCGGTTAATCCCGTAGAGAGTTTCTTCTGCTGTAAGGGCAACCCTGGAGACTCCGACGAAAGCCTAGCAGGGGAGGATCCAAAGCGTGAATAAGAGCTACGGGAAATACACGGAGGGACCGACCTAGCAGGGGAGGATCCAAAGAGAAGAAACTCTAAGGGTCCGCCTGCTAGGGCGCCAACTATATACTGGTCGTCCGTAACTGCCGACGTAGAGCGCAAAAGGCCTGAGCGGCGTCGCAGGCTCTGTCCCAAGGTGATCGTTGGGAGGGTCTTGACGGATCGGTGATTGTGCGGGCGAAGGAGGCCGTGGACGATGGTCGGGGTGGGTCGGAGCGTCCGAGGGGGCGCCGGTCGGATGCGCCTCGGATGCGTTCGGAGGGTCCGAAGGAGGCCGAAGCGGGGGTTCCCCTGACAGTAAAGCAGAATATGATTTAGCATCTACATAGGCAGTGGCAAAGCTAGCAGAATCTTCATCAGAATCCTCATCATCAGACTCTGTAGATTTATTGGCTTTGGCTTTAGCACCTCTCTTTCTGTCTTTCTTCCCTTCTATTCTTATTATTGTCCTTGAGAAAACCCTTCATGACAGTGCATTCATCTGTATTATGAGAGTTGTTTTTCCCATGTTTAAGACAGTATTTGGTGAACTTGGCATTGGAAGAAGCCAGGGATTTGGCAGAAAGAGCAGAGTTCTCTTGACTGTTGCCATCTGTAGGTTTTCTTCCTAAAGCAACCAATCTAGCACGGACATTATCTAGAGTAATGCTGGTACCTAGTGATGTTGTGATGTTATCACGGATACCTGTCCAGTGAGCATCTGTAGGCAATGTACCTAAGAGAACTAGTGGCTGAAGATCAGGAGAAATTCCATATTGAAGGGAGGAAAGTCTGTTGAAGAATCTCACAACTTGGGATATATGTGTCTCTATAACAGTACGTTCCACAATCTGTGGGTCTCCTTCAATCACCAGTTTGGTGTCAAAGAGATCTGAGAGAATTCCAGCTGCAGTTCCTGCACGATTTTCTGCTTCAAAGCGGACACGTAATTTGGCCCAAAGACCAGCAGCACTAGTATCATTGAGATATTTGTCAGGGGAACCTCCCTTTCGGCCCCTCGGAGACGATTCCGATTCCGGTCCGACTCCGGTTCCGACTCCGGTGATCGCATCACCGCCTCCGTCAGGCGCATCGCCGCCCCCGCCTGGCGATCCCCCTGGGACCTGGCCTGCGACATGGCGCAGGCATACTGCACGGAGCAACGATCAACCTTGGCGCGTCAAGAGCGCAGTATATAGTTCCGCTACCTAGCAGGCGGACCCTTAGAGTTTCTTCTCTTTGGATCCTACCCTGCTAGGTCAGCCTCACTTGTATTTGCTTACTTCTATTCACTCTTTGGATCCTCCCCTGCTAGGACCTTGATCTCAGGCCTCCGGGGTTGCCCTTACAATATTCTCCTGATAATTCATCAGAGAGAAAACTATCGATAACACCTAAAGCTCTGCTGTTACGTTCCTCTGGTTGATCTTTAAATGGAACACCTGTAGCAGTTGACCCAGCAGTAGGAGTTGCAGCAGGGACTGCACAGTAGCATCAGCAGGAGTTGTAGCCTGGATGACTATTGCTATCAGAGTGTAGACACCAGAAGTACGAAGTTCATTTATAGCTAAACGTTTGAATGCAGGCCAATCAGAAGCTCCAGCCAATTTGACCTTAGAAGTCTCCATAGCAAAAAACCTAGATGGTGCAGAATATTTTCTAAATGCTTCTAGCTTCAAGAGCGAGCAGTGAGTCTTGATAAGAGCAAGTATGTTGTCAGAGCTGTAGCGCTCCGGGGCCCATAACCTGTCAAAATCTGTAAATGCGCGGAAAGCGCAGTAACCTCAGTCTCCCGCTATATGGGATCAAAGACTGAGGGGGCAACGGAAAAAGGTGTCAGTATATATGTAAATGTAATGTACCTGCTGACACTCCCGGAACTCCCATGGAGATCATTATCACGGGCCGGAGGCCGGGGCGGACCGCCATCAATTCCTGACAGTTCCTTATTCCTCCATCGTAGCTCCTAATTCTATAAGTACTAGATAGGGCTGGGGCTACGCCCCAGCTTTAAACTTGAATGTTGCTTGAATAACATGAAGAACATTGCCACTAACAATAGAATGGCACAAAAATGCCCAATGGCCTTCTTAAATATCTCTTACTGCAGGACAGCTGGTGTAGTGGCAATCCATGCTGTTCTTACCTTTGGGTAAACTGAAGGTTCTGGGTCCCGGGTAGTCAGGCGTTCGAATCCCAGCAATGCGACATAACACAGAGTTCTAGTGGGTATTAGATAATGATTCTTGAGTCCCACACTGTCTGACTGTTGTCATTCGTGTGTAAATGCATTCTCTGCGGGGCCCCGGGTTTGAATTCCCGGACACTCTTACCAGAGCCTTGTGGGATAATATTATCAACTGCACTTGAGTCTCAAATGGTACCGCCAAAAAAAATCAAAAATGAAAAATAAATATCTCTTACTAGTATATGTTAAGTTAACCCAAGTCACTAACATTTGTGTAATTATTTCTCAATTTGTGGGCAATTTGAGAATACTTCCTTGTAAATAACCTTAAGAACAACTTGTTTACCATGCTGGGTGCAAGACATGACTTACAGCTTTGTATCCCAATTAGGATTGGTCACATTTTACGGCTTTTCTTACCAATTTAGGACTTTACTGTACTATTTTAATCAATTCGTCACCTGCCAACCTGCGTGACATGTGCGACGAACTTAAACTTTCGTCAGGCCTTCCCCATTAGGGAATTTCGGCGCCGGAGGCGCCGGATCGGACGGAAAATTACCATATATGGACCAATTTGGGGCCAATTTCTGCCGGATATGTGTGACTGACGAAAATTTTTCGTCGGCTTGAGCCCTGTGTGACGCGTGACTGACGAACTGATTAAAATACTACAGTAACGGCAGTGACCCCAGAAATGGAAGTGTGGAGCAAATCAATTGTTAAGGCCAATGCCAAACATGTGCATACATTCACACGACATCTGCTAAATATAAAAGTAATATCTGGAATGTATATTATATTCATACTTATTTAGCTAACCCCAATTAGTATCATATCATGATTGAACCATATATCGGCTTTTAATGGTCTCCTAGCTAAGCATTGTGGAATGGATGAATTCCTCTGGAGCAGCTGCATAGCTGAGACAAAGGCTACATCAAGCTCATCATCCCTCAAACCATACCAGAAGATAGTGGTCGCTAAAATGTCTGCACCCTGGACAGAGCAGCAAAAGAACTTTAGAACTTCATTGCGGAGATATTTTGATGTGAAACTAATTTCCCAATCAGAATCTACAAAATACTAGTCTCCAAATGCTCACCAGTATGAAGTTGCAAGGGCATCTGCATAGCATGAAATATATTCACTGGGAAGTGAAAAATCCATTTGGAGCATTGTCCCCATTAGATCATGAAATCCCATCCCTGCTTCCTTGACAAGGCGTATAAAACCTGGTTTATCTAAGGACAGGACCCAGTCCACAATCCATTTCCGGGTGGCAGGTTGAAGGAAATACTCTTTCATGTGCTCTGATAGGATCTGCTTTCGTGCAGCCCACAGCCACTTTGAGCTATTGTTCTATTAGTTCTTGCTGCACATCATGTCTTTACATACCTAAGATACCTCTGAAACAGAGCGAGAAGTGATGGTGTGAGTTTTATGTCAGCTACATGAATAAGAAGTTCTTGAAGAGGAGCTGCAAGCCTCCAGGGGTAATCAGTACTGGTTTCTAAGCTTTCAAACACTGATACTCCAGAAGCAAGCATCCATTCAACAATCAAGTTGGTATCACTTGAATTCTGGTTGTGGAGTTGTGCAGTGAACCTTGAGTTGAGATGTTGCAAAATCTGAAGCTTGACAGCCAAGGGGACCTTGGGAAACCTGTCTCGGGCTCTCAATATTGAATCAACGGGTATGCTTCTGGCTTACATAAGATATTGCTCAAATACCTCTGTGTTCACAGTGGTGCAGCCGCCGATCCGTGCCCCGTGCTCGTTGATTGGTATTCAAGCCTTGGACTAATACTAAACAGTCGCGCGAAAGATTCAGGATATTGGGCCACACTTACTTGAATGTCATAATGCATATGTACTGAAGCGGGCTTTTGAGAACATTATGAAATGGGATAGTGTATTCTGTTTGAGATAGACGATGGCTAGAAAGGCGAGGATTGCCTGGATTCCGTCGAAACATCATCTAGTGTCATGCCGATCTAAGATTCCCTTCCTATGTGCACTTGAGTATCATTATGATATATCAAAAAAACTGGCGCGACTCACCAGTTTGCGCTGGCGCTTCACGGCCCTCCACCGCAAGCGCTCCTCGGCCATTGCCCAAAAGTCACGCTCCCCCCAAGCCCCGCGGCGCCAGTCGTCCTCAAACTGCGAGCAGTAAACGGCGCAAAAGCGCGGGTCACCGATCTCGTCCGCGCGCTCCCCATCCGAGGCGAACTCGTCCGGCACCCCGGGGTCCACCTCCTCCCTATCCGTCCACAATACCACCAAGACACGAAGCCGCTCGCCACACTCCGCCAGAGTCTTCCAGATAAAGGGCGGGTCCCACATGTCCGTCAGGGCCAAATGCGTCAGGGCGGGCAGCATGCCGAGAATGGGAATCATCTGCGCCGACAGGGGCATGTGCCCGAAAATATCTAAATGCGTCAGCTGCGCAAACGGGCGAAACTTTGCAGCGCTCGGGGCCGCGACGTCATCCACGTTCCAGAGAAGCTCTGAGAGGTTGACGGAGAGGTGCCGAAGCTGGGTCAACGGCTGCATCGCCTCCAGCAGCTCGGGATACGTGTCGCCCGTCCATATCGCGAGGTCCGTCACATTCGTCGTCGTGCGCAAAATATGCTCGACGGTAGAGCGTGCCATCTGGGACGACAGCGCCAGGTGGCGCACCTGGCTGCTGCGGTCCGGCTGAGGCAAACTTGAAGGGGGAGGTCCAGGAAGTCCCGCGGCCGACTCGGGGAAGAGCCCGAGAAAGTGGGACATAAACAGGTCGTCCTCAGCGCTGGACAGCGACACCACGCGGTAGCGCAGTGGCTCTAGCCTTGGTGGATAATGCGAGTGTCAGCATGTCGCGATGCGAAAAGAAGACCACGCACCATTCATAAAACCGGCGCGCGACACAAATCAGCGTCCGCATCGTCTCGTCGTCATTCCACCCTGCCAACTCGCAGATTTCCCGCTCTAGCTCCGGCGGCAGCTGCGGTGCCGCTTTATCCACATCGTGCATCCGAATTCCACGCGCGCCCAATGTCCACGTCGAAGTATCGTCGAAGTCCAAGTCAAAGAGGTGTCGCTGACTCAGCGCCGATCGTCCTGTCGGCCGACAGCCCGACAAGTATTTCTAAGGCTTCTATCAGCTTCACTGTCTCATGGCTTCCAAAATCAGCCCGGAGTTTAACGATAGAATGTGAACCCAGATCCCAGAGATTCCCCAACAAAGAATACCTTCTGGAAGGGGTTTCCTATTACCAAAAAAATAATGGAATCTTTTTCCAAATGAATTTTATCTGTGAAAACAATGATAAATTTCTTTTCTTGGGTTAAAAATCTTGTAATAAAACCTTGGGTTTTGGATCTGCAAAAAATAGCAATTTCCCTTTTTAAAGAGTGAGTGAGCACAAGCGGGTGTTATTATTCAAAAAATGTATATACTGTCAGAAAGTTTTTAGGGCCTCCTGGGCCCCTCCTTCCTTACTATTTCAGGTAATATACTCCACAATTAGATAAAATAAGGATCATGTGACCTGAGGATGCACTCAAAGTGGCGATAAAACTTATATTTATAGTCACATTTATTAGAATCCTTCTACTTTTGAGCAATATACGTATAGCATCTAAACCCTTCCGGAGTGATTAGTAGACCATGTATGACTATATGCAATCAAGGTTCAGATGATAAGATTGTGACACCAGTCATACTGCAGCCAAACTAAGTAGCTGAAACATTCTCACAGGCAAGCAGTATGTATTACGCCATGCATATACTTATACCCACCTTGTGTTACATGGTGAAATACTTTGTATACAAATATAGTCTAAAATAAGCTCAAACCCACCGGAACTCCCCCAAAACTGTTGCATATTTTTTTCACTACCCTATATCCATAATAAGCATTATGACACCCTCCTTCAGTGAGCATACCAATAAGTAGTTTCTAGGGATCAGCACCTAACCGTACCATACAGTGTACAGTCACAGTAGTAGTCAGGTACGAGATGGAGCCTGTAGCAGGCTCTACTTACTGTAAGCTGTATATAATAGGTATAGTTGATGCCTCCCACATGCTCAGCATAGGCATCAATCACACCAAGACTTAGCAAGGACAGGCCACGTTGGCATGGTTATGGTCCACCGTTGGCTCCACAGACATGTCCAGTGGCTCCCTGCCTTATCATGTTGATGAGCTTGTAAATGGAGCACATCTAGAAACTGATCACATAGAGCAAATATTATAATTTGAATGCGCTAAATACTTGAGAACATTCCAGAGTTATAGTAGAACTATATGAGTCTAGATAGGTCCACAGACCTAGATACACCCAGAAGGCCAGAATACCAGTTCTGGACTGCTCTAGCAGCACAACCACAGAACTCCGGCCTAGACGAGAACCAGAACCATTGGTTGTGGAAATAGAACATCCCAATACAGAAGATGGATTGTCCAGAATATTCTAGAATGCACAGCCACAATGACTCCAACTGAGTCATAGTGCTTCCTTTGTCACATTATGTAATTAATTTCTGAGTAGTATATAAGGAGCTCAATTGTAGTAGATAGACTACCAAATTACACCCCACCTATTACCATATTTGGCAAGTAAGCAAGGCAGCTAGGTAGTGTGAAGACAACTCTACACATCAAACATTCATCAGGGAAAAGGAAACCTGATAAAATTTTAGTTTTAAATTCAGTTTAAATATTTCTCATTTCATTCCATTTACATGGAATAAGAGGAGAGATATGTCAATCCTTGTTCCATTTAAAGTTCCAAATGTTTGGGATGAAGATCGCCCAAGGCTCAAAACAGATGATCCTGATGATCTGGAGGAATATATCAAATCAAAAGAATAATCCAAAGTACAGTATTGTTAATAAGCAGGAGAAAAATGATTGTTTAATTCGCTATGCTCCACCACTTAAATCTTTGAGCTGGAAGGCTTTTGACAGCTTTCAACCAACCTCCAGTTATCGAGAATTTCTTGATGAAGTCAAAACTCTTTATATGCACTCCAAACCTGAATTAAAAGATTTTGTCAGTTCCTTGAAGCAATTGGTCATGATGCCTGAAATCTCACAAAGTGAATGTGCAAAGCTTCATGTTTATAATGTCTAATTTGCAAAGATTGTAGAAGTGATACCTGACTCACAACAATCATCCCATATGATGTTATCACCTGTTAATCCCAATTATCTCTTCTGATTAGAATGGACCACCCATGTGGGTGACCATTCTAATTAGAAGAGATGATATAAAAAAGCCCTATGCTGCAATAAAGGGGGCTATAAAACTGCAATATCTCTGAGACACCAGGCTCTAAGTCATTTCATACGTTATCGCCAGTGTAACATTTTGTGACATTTGTGACTGGCATGATACTATTAATGGTGATCTTATATTAGTAATAATAATACCTGTGTAGCCTGGTACCCACTATAAACTGCCAGGTTTACTGAGACAATAAGATGTGACACTGGTATGTCACGTTACAAAGAAGCTATCATATAAGTGTATTCTGATGAATAATAATAATATCAAGCCTCCAGTATACAGCACTTATGATATATGTGACCTAGTGTGACAAATTTCCCAAAAGGGAAATTTTTGCCGTTTGACTGTATGATCATCTGAGGATGTCACAGATCGTCACAAAATCAAAGTTGTATATTTTGACTATACAAATAACTTTCATGAAGTGACCTATAGTTGCAGCTGAATAATTGTGCTGGGATTGGCCAGTGATTGGCTGATCTATACCAAATACAGTGATATATCACTGAGTGGATAATCTATAAAGGTGATTGGAGCACTACCAAGGGTGCCTAAATGATAATATCGATATCCTAGACAATCAAATGTTATTAGTATAGCTATATCATCTCATAATGATTGATCACCTACATTGATGCTATGATATCACCACCAATCCTACATTAAGTCAGATAATTCTTGTACTAGTAGGTAGGTCACAACCTAGTGCTCATATGCTCTGATGTAATCATGGTCCTATATCTTGAGACTATGATATTAGACTGTTTTTCTCTAGTTTTCATGTTTCAAATTTGATCAGACTCAATGATCACTTGATTTCTCACTGGAAAATCTATAGATAAGCTTAATGCAAGTTGCGCTCTGTTCTAATAGATGGCTATCATAGATATGGGAGCTCCCTATAATTTTAGATATCATATTTACCTCCATATATGACATATATCCTAACACACCAATCTCCCAATAACTGAATTAGAAGTGAGGGATCCCCCATAGTATAAGGGTAGCAAGCATGAGAAGGGGTCCCCTTATAAGATTGCACTTTTCCCACCACATTATATACATGAAAAATCTTGCTATTCCCCATTCTAATAATGAATAGTACTGCACATCATATTAGCAATACAGCTGTAATCTGCTAGTTGATTATAGATCAAATATGTGAAAGTCGGCAAATGAGGTGTATAAATCTACCCACATACTCCAATTGATCTCTATATACTCTCAGAGGATGCATTGGGATGAACATTCCAAGATAAGTTGAATGCAGAACCAGTTTACATGAATGGTGGGGTCTATAGACTGAGTACTGGACATTGAGATGCATGTATGAGAATATTTGGATGTCTAGTAGGACCCCATACTATAATCTATTATGGTTGTGGCAAGTGTTATAGTAGGTAGCTGAAGAGAGGGTAGGTACCCAGAGAGCAAAACAGAGTGTCTTCGCTATTACAACTGGTCAGAAATTAATTTCAAGTATGATCTAAGACATGAATGCAGGATTGTATGGACCCCTAAATGAACCTGTTCAGCACTTGAATTAACCTCATACCTATTGTGGATCATGAGATTCCATGCATGTAGTCCCAGGATATCAGCAAAACACTGCTCTACTGAGCATTTAGGCATTCTTGGCAGTGAATAAATGAAGGTAATGATAACAAAAAAATCGCTGATAGGGCTCAAGGATAGTAGGATGATATACCTTTCAAATGAACCCTCTCCCAGCTTTATCCACTAAGGCTAGCTGGAGATATGGGCTTATCTTTCAGAGGTGATGGAGATCAAAGGCCACTGATGAGTGAATGCATTGCATTCTTGGTGCCAAATTCAGTGTGCCAAATTCAGTGGTGCTTAGAAGGATATATAAGTAGCCAAACTCACACGTTGGCCACCTTACATTTTTAAAGTACCAAATATGCTCTTTTCAATAACTGAATAGTCAATATGGGAATCCTATCATGTGATAGTGATCAAAATACCTGATCAATCAATGGTCCTTTTGAGACCCTTCCTGCTAGTTCTCAATTTATGCTTTTAGCTCAAGCAGCTCTGAAGATAGAGGTCCATCAGTTATATATGAGTTAGTAATAGGTCAGTGCTAACACATTTATTGAGCTGTCACTATATATTCCTTAATGAAAGTTGTTTATATAGTCAAAATACACAACTTTGATTTTGTGACAATGTGTGACATTCTCTGATGATTCCACTGTTGAACTGTAAAAAATTCCTTTTTAGGAGACATGTCACGCGTGTGACCTCATATGACACAGCAGAAGTATACGGAGTTGAAACCAGCCATTGATCATCAATATGTATAGTATAACATAGACATATATAAGAAACCTTGGATGTTACGTCACATACCACTGTTACATACTAGTATCACATCTTGTTGTTAGGATAAACCTGTATAACAGGCAGGACAGGGGTTATGGTGCTCAATATAAGATTATTGTTAAGTTACCATACCTTAGTATCTACCAGTCACAAAATGTCACACTGACCTTGGGCGATAACACACAAAATGACTTAAAGCCTGGGGTCCCAGAGATATTGCAGTTTTATAGCCCCCTTTATTACAGCATAGGGCTTTTTATATCATCCCTTCTAATTAAAATGGTCACCTGCATGGGTAGTCCATTCTAATTAGAAGAGATAATTGGGATTAACAGGTGGATGTTATGTGAATGGTAATACCTGTATATGGTATGGTGCTGATCCCTAATTAACTTGTGTTGGGTTGTAGTGATGCCGAATATCCATGTCTGTACCGTTTTGCACGCGACATCATGACTATTCCTGGTAGGTGTTCTCTTAGTCACCTTCTGCTCAACTGACATTCAAAGCAGGGTCTGCAGTCGCTGTCGAGCGTGTATTCTCTGGCGGTCGTGACACAATATCCCTCCGCAGGTTGCAACTGGCTCCAGAGACGATCAGGACCCTCATGTTACTCAAGCACCGTCTTCGGATGCGCCGTGCAGGGGCGCAGGATGCACTGGAGCAGATGAAAAAGGTAAAGGATTCGATTTCCTTGCACGCTGAATAGTACTGTAGCTACATGCTGTCTTAGATACTCGATTGAAAGTCACCGTCTGCCATACCACACCGTATCCGGACCGTATCCGGCCGTACCGTAGCCATATCCAGCTGTCCAGACCCCTAATACGGTACGGTGACGGTCCGGTTGGGCCCGTATTTATCCCGTAGATGTACGGCCGTACCCGTATATGGTACGGTGCTGATCCCTATCAGGTTGTCAGGTTGCCCATCTTTATTAGGTTGATGGGGATCTCCATCAGGTGTCATACATACTGTCTTGTTTTCATCAGATCACTTAATAAATTTAACTGATTTTTGCAAATATCTCACTGTACCGTATTGGTGTTTGCAACAGCCAGGATCTTCCACCGGACCCTGACCAGGCCCTTGCCCTAGACCTACCCCCGCCGGGGCTTCGCTCACCATGGGGCCTGCTACACAGTGCATGCCTTTGCTTACCTTTATACCATCTTGGCTTTGGGTGGTAGCGCCAGCCGTGATGGACCCCACCCTGCTGGGAGCTGCCGCTTGCTGCTGCATGGAGCCCGTTTAAGTCAACATCTTCATCATTCTCCGGGCAACTGACGAAAATATCAGAACAGGTATTTATCCGTGACACTTGTGAGAAGCCTTAAATTACATCAAGGAGCTGCAATGGGATGACACCTGATGAACACCGGCGACCTGACAACCTGACAAACATGGTTTCCGCCCACTTGTGTTTCATATAAAAATATTGGTTTTGAACCAAAAAAAACCAATACTTGTCAGGGGAACCCCTTTTTAGCTCTTGGAACCATCTGCATCCTAGCACAAGAGCAATACAAGAGTGCCTCATACCAGAAACCCTATGTCATAAATCCTGCAAATCAAGAAAGTACATTAATATTATTTTCTCTCTATATATATTAGCTCATCTAAGATAAGTATGTTGATACCCCCTTCCAAATTTCTGAGGGAACACTTATTTGGATTTTCATTTCTGAGTATTGAAATTTGTTCTGCAGTATTTTGGATTATTTGAACCTCAAAAGAAGAAGAAATCATTTTTAAAAAAATACTATGTTACTATCTCATTCAATTCAGCTAGATCACTGATTTTGATGGAATCAAAAAGGATTGCTATGAGAATCTGAAAAATCAGTATTATTGCCAGTTGACCAAGACCATAACATGCAGAATTGATTGAAGTAGTGCAGTATTTTGATTATCTGTCTAGGTTATGTGTTACCTAGCTAGATGCATAACAAGTTGGCCCCAACCAGGGGGAATATTCCCAAATTTTCTATCTTGTGCTAAGCTGTACGAAGAGACAGGAATCTGTGCCAACTTTTGCAGCCTGCACATATAAAGGTATCTTATTTTCACCGTGTAAAATGATCACTGGCTGTTTTTCCTTGGGAGTCCAACTTGAGGCTCTCTTCATCAATATCAATTCCAGATAAATCAAGCATTCATAATATTAAATAGCCCCACAGTCCCAGTCTCAGAGCCTGATCTTTCTTTTGCTTTTCGTATGTTCCCCTTTTCGCCTTCTTTTTCTTTTGTTGCTAACGACAACAGTGGCAGTGGCCCAGGAGTATTGAGTTTCAGCGAACCGATGGCCACGGTTGCGGGATATCTAAGATTTTTTTTGTGCAAATTCATTTTTAGTATCTGGAGGCACTTGCCTTTTGCTTGCCCTGCAGCTCAGGCTGCTTATTTCGAGTCTGCGTGTACCAGCTCTACTACCGAGCTGAAGGGAAACGAAAGAAGATTTAAGCCACACAATTGAAGAAGCGAGTGAAATTGAATCGATTCAGTGTATGTAGGTGATGCGAATACAGGCGGCTAAGAGAGAGATAACAGTCAACGACATCCAGCGCAGCAACGAACCCCGCGTGGATAGATAAATTTAGGTCTATCAATAAATTTACGAGGGTGGGCTAAAGCACGTCTCAGCTCGAAAGCACAGTAGGATGGGATGAAGCAACTTACACAGGAGCGACGGAGGTGGCTGGGCCGGGGTCGGCAGTGAGCGCCGGGAATGGGGCAGTGCCACACTAATGCAAGTGTCAGATGGTGCTGTATGGGAGAAGCGATGTGCTTACCGCCTGCTCGACATCGTTCATGGTCTTGCCGGCGGGCAGATGGGGCTTGCCGACGACGGGCTTGGGGACGGGGATGACGTCGGAGCAGTCGATCATCTTCGCGGTGTTCTGTCCGATGACGGCCAGCTTCGCCATTGCTGCCTTGAACGCGTTGGCCATGGCGTTCTGGTTAGCTAAAAAATTAAATGAGATTCAACCCGGGTATACAGTGGAGAAGGCGAACGCACTGGCAAAGGATTGGAAGGTGCAGGCCGTGCGGGAGTCTGTAGCCAAATGTGTTAAATTACGATCTCTGTGCTCACGAGCTGAACAGACCTCGTGCGAGCTCGGAGTCAGAGTTGAGGCGGATCTCTCCCTTGAGGGGCGACTCGACTTCACCCTGGTGTCCACCAGTACTATATAATGATGAAGTAGGCTGCCCCAGGTAGAGAGAGGATATCGTACCCAGGGAACAGTACGCCACGGAGCTGGGTCTCAATGAAGAACTGGGTGTCGAAGATCGAAGGAGTGGAGGAGAACGGGGTTCTGGGTCGGTTTAGAGTGAAATAAGACGAGGGTTAATGAGGACATACCCCGGAATCTGAGCAAAGTATGAGCGAACGGAACCGAGGAACAGGTGAGGAAACATACCGAGGGGTCAACCAAGTCAGCAGCCGCAATAGTGTGGCTAGCAGATTGGGTCAACAAACAGCGCAATGTCAAGAGAGAGTAACATACGAGGCAAGCAATGCCACCACCTCGGCGGGGGAGAAGTTGACCTCCTTGAAGCGCTGGAGAATCTTGTCGAGCGAGTCTTGCGGCTCGGGGACAAGACCAATCGGCGAGGGAGCCTTGGCGACAGGACGACCCATCAAGAACTGGAGACGGGGGGCACCAGGGCAGTTGCTGACAGCAACAGCACCGGCCAGCTGGATGAAGTCACCGGGGGTAAGGGTTGCGTTCCACTTCTCAATGAACGGCGTCTGGGCGTCAACGATGTCGTCGATACCAGCGTTGGCCGGGAAGTTGACCTCAGTGTCCGCGAACGTGAAGATAGAGCCTAGGAATGGAGTTGAGAAGGATGTTATCGAGATAATTGACGACCTACCATCAGCGCCTCCACCGCCAAGAGTGGGGGAAAGACCGATAGCATCGTGGAAGGTCAACCGCAAAGACTCGTGTGTCTCCTCGCCACACTCTCCGCCGTCGAAAAGGTTTTCGATGAGGTCGTCGACAACGGGGAAGAGGGCGCAGCAGGCAGCGTTTGCGGTGACTTGACCGGTTGAGCAAGTGACACGCTTGGTGAGCGCAGCTAAAAGGCCGTCAGGTAAATCTTTATGGTACGGAGATATCGCTTACCACTGGCAACTCGAAGAGAGGCCGCGAGGAGGACGATGTTGGAGAGAGTCTTGAAAGCCATTGAGATTCCGGTTCCGGGGGGTTCAGGTGGTAGAGACGCCTTAGCCTGAGGATTGTAGTCGACGCTGCCCTCCCTTTATACCCTCCCATCCCAGAGAAAACCGCAAAAAGCGAGGCTGAACGCGTTCCGGGAGCTGTAGCTGCCCGAGCCAATGTCTGGCAAGAGATTTCGGGGGGGACCCAAGACTTACCCATTCGCTACCGCTCACACGGCGCTGGCGTTTTGGAGGTGGGAAGCTGCAACACAGGTGAAAACAAGCAATATCGTGTCTTGAAACCCGGATAATGCCACTGGTGGGAAGGAAAGGGAATAAGATTGGGCGGGTATTTTCGGGACCGTCGCTTTGGATATTGGTCAGTGTTCTCTCCGGGCTCTATTGGACGGGTTGAGGGCGTGATGAGGTGGAGTGCGCCTGAACATCCGACAGCTGGGTGTGGGTCAACTCGGGTGCCTTGTCGAGCGACCCGGAAGCGGTGGTTGACATTGTGGTAAAGTGGAAAGAAATTTGGCGTCCGTCACAATCATGATGCGTTGCCTTGCGTTGCCCAACATGCCTTTCCTCTGGTGCGTCTTCAACGTGAATGCCCACACTGGAGCTCATGCGCGGGATCACACGTCAGGCCTTCAGCTGTCTCTGTCGGGACTCAAAAGATGGTCTGATCCAATGGAAACAACCAACCCGCTGTAGAAACCAGCCCGGACTCGGAGTACAGTGGCAAGATACCAAGTACTTACTCCAGTCCACCAGTGGTACTCAAGTTGGGATTCTGGGAATATACAAAGCCAAATTAACACGGTGAGTGTCTTCGAAGGGGTCTCTACAGACGGCAACTGAATGCTTCCTATCGCTGCAGACAGTATCCGAGGCAGACCGGGCAAGAAAATCTTCTCACAGTACGAGGGAAAAACCTACTCGATGACTCCAATCTGCCGTCCGAATCTTTCAAGCAGAACCGAGATGGCTTGAAAACGTCCTATTTCGCCTAAATCGCTCCCAAGCACTGGCACTGCTCCTCTCATAATGAGTCTCATCCATTCTCCTCAACATTTTCAAGTTCGACGGCGACCACTCGAATGACATAACTTCGCCATAGCCCACGTCCTGGTTCGCCCTGCAGAAGCGCTTCTTTCACAGCTTAAAACAATGTGCCCTCCCACGTTCTGGTCTATCAAGGTGCCGAAACTTCCCTCGCTGTCTACCATTCTCGCAGCACGATCCGTAGCTTGTGAACCTTTGCGCTTCTGCCGACAAACAGCCGCCCTGTCATTGGAGGGTCGACACAAAAAATACACCTACTGACGTCTATTTCCACTGTCATCATGATAAGCTCGGTATGCTCGTAGTGGAGTTTAGCGTCGGTGCTTGACTCCAAGAATCGGGGTTTGGGCTCCCAAAGTCGGGGTTGATCGCGTCGGCCACTCGGTTGCGCTCCTTAGCCTCACATTTTTGTTGCGAAGGCGCGTTGTCTTGCGTTACAATAACATTATATCCATTGCCTTGTTTGCTGATAACATGGAATAGTCCTCGTTTTGGTGCTCAGCTGGCCTACTTCAACTTGAAACTCTCCAGGAGACGCTATAACGATCAACAGTAAACGTGAAGACCATATAACAGCAGTGGTTTACCTCGCCCAACACAGCAACGAATTTCAGGGCATACTCTACCGGCACCGGGTCTTGGAGGAAACCGCAACGCGACTATTTCGAGCGCAAATAGGGCCAGCCCTATTTCTGGATGTTGCAAATTCACAAGTTCATTCTCTCAAGCAAGCAAATCAAGCTTAGTGTTTATTATCCTCTCGGTCCGGGCGTACAAGTCACAACGCGTCTGCATGAATGATAATGTCTCGCGGTCGCAGACAGATCGCAACTGTTGCTGCTACCGCATGCCTTATCTCCGCTGTGTATCCTGACCCTACTCGCTCTTGCAATCTATTCCTGGCAGTCAATGAATTTTCTCGCGCATCGCGTGGGCGGGTATCTTCCGGATAGCTCGCGCGTCGTTTGCCGTTAGTTGACGAGCTTCGAATCGTTCGAGCAAGGACTTCCATCTCTTGACTTGCTTCTTTCTTGATCGTTCGACTCGATACCGATTGGAATGATAATTACAGTCTTGAGTGCAACAACAAAAAAAAGGCTCGAGGGAAAAGGTAGCCTGCCACTGAACATGGTTGTTTGGACTCGTTACCCCTAATAATTAGGGTGCTTCCACTCCACAGCGTCCGACCAATTCCACGCCTCTCCGAGTAAGTCTGAGCCGGTTACTGCTTGTGGCATGAAACCCAGTCGTTCGGTCGGCACCCTTCGAGTTAACCACTTCTCCAGCAGTCAGAGCTCATCGTCTTCCCCTGGTAGCAAGACTGCTGCGTGCATTCGAACAGCAGAACACATTGCGTTAATAGTGTTGCGCGTTTCCAGGTCGATCTCAAACGCATCACGTTCGTAATCTGTCGAGCTCTGGGTGAGTATGATGGATTAATCCAACAGGAGCACCTTACCATGAAGATATATCTTAGCACGAACGGGCAGTAACTGCTGCATAATCGTATCGCATGTCCACTGGAGCTGACAATGATTGATTTGAATTTGGAGTTCAAGTTGGGAAAAAATGCCAACGGAAAAGGAGCTCACCTTCAGTAGGACCGTCGGAATCCCTTCCACCACTCGTGGCTCTTGCCCGTCTAGTGGATAATGCAAAATTTCCCCCGCCCCAAATGCGGCTTTGCCCACAACCCTTTCAGTCATATGTGCAGTAAGGCGGAAGCAGATAAGTCCAGACTGTCCCTCCTCCGGCGCCAGGTCGAAGAAATGGTCCGTTGGGCAGGACATCTACTAGTGCCTTCGGTCAGGTAATTGCTTATGGGCAGCCTCCAATGTGGGACTCACCTCCGTGGCCTGACTCCACGTCCCGCCCAATCCATCGCGCAGCATTGCCCTCCGTGCATCCGTGACCGCTGCAAGGACTTGATTCCATATAGGCTGGGGAACATGGACAATGCGACCATCTCGATCCATGACGAGCCTTGAAGTTGGTATCATCGGGGCGAGTTGGCTTGAGTAAGAAGCAGAGCTTGTTGTTTCATCATCCGTCGCGGAGGCATCATCTTTAGACGTGGATCTTTGGCTTGACGCAGAAACGGTGAGGAATGCGTAATTCAAGCCTGCGCCGCCGAGTCCGCTGGAGGATGCTAGAAGAAGGACGTCTGGAAAGGATAATTCGGTCGCGTTCGATGCATGGGAGCCAGAGGGTGCGGGCTTCGGTGGCATGGATAAGTGTGTCGAGAATTTGGGTGGAAGACAAGAGTGAGTCACGGTTCTCAAAGTGGCAGGTCGACTGCCTATTGCGGAAGCCACATCCTTGGCACATCCTTCCGGCGTGCGAAGATTGATACTTATGTATAGGGTCTAATGGTCTTCACAAGTCAAGGATTGCAAGCGAGACTACCTAAGGGATTTGGCAACGAGCCAGCAGCAAGATAGCAACGCTCCTAGTACTAACACACATGTAAGGTACAGTACGTAGCCAAGAGAGAGAGAAATCGTAAGCATAGAAAACAGAGAAGGTAAGTAGGCAATCAAATGTAGGCGAGATTTTTTCATGGAAAGGAGGGGTCATTGGACGAGTAGTATTCGACCTTTTCATTAAGGAGAGACGGGAGGTCTAAAGACGGGGATGGGACAGGGAAGTCTTTTCGTAGAAAGGAGCAGAGTAGATCACTGTTGTTTGCACTCTTCGGGGTTGACGTTTGCAGACCCAGATCCACCAGCAGGGCCACCACCACGTCGCTTGGAAGGCGGAATGCGACGGGCAGGAGCATCATCATCGCTATCCGAGTCCTACTAGAAGGGTAAGTACTGATTGCTCTGTAGGATGGAAAAGGGAGAAGTAGACAGAACACAGACCTCGTCAAATTCGTCACCCTCCTCGTCTTCATCTTCATCGTCGTCTTCATCGAACTCGTCGTCGCTGTCGACAAGCTCATATTCTAGTGCTTTCCCAGTGAAGTAGTCGACTGCTCGGGGAATAATCTGATCGTTGTGGTCAGCTTTCGGGACGACAGTCATTTGAAGAGACGACGCACCTTTTCCTTGAGGTCTTCTCCAACCTGGTAGTCTACCTCCAGTCTATCTTCAATTTCATCGAGGTCATCCGGATCTACATCGCCGCTCTCGATCTAAAACGGGAAAAGTATCAGGCCCCAGGGTCGAATCCTCGTATGAACGATCTTACGTCTTCGTCACTGGGCATAACCGGAGGGGAGAAGAAGTTAAAGAACGATGCTGTCGGGTGGGATTTGCGGACGAGGCGAGTGCGGTTGGTGTCTAACAAGAGCTTAGGCTCCTAACTGGAAGCAACCAGAAAACATAAACGCACTTTTATTCCTTTGCTTCTTGATTTCCCACTCGCGGGTAAGGTCCTTGTCCTCTTTCCATGCAATCTTGCTCCCGACAGCGCGGTCGTACACGAAGTCGCCGCTATATCCGACCTACACAATTGTTAGTGGAAAAGGAACGAAGAACAGACGAAGACAAACCTCTTCCTGGTAGATGTAGGTTTTGGTGAGCGTTGCGTCCGTGAAGAACGGGTTTTCGTTCCAATGGAAGGTAATTGTAAAACCTGGCTTGCCGGCTAATTCGCCTAAAAATCGAATCAGTATATCCAAGTTCAGTAAAAAGAGTGTAGATCGCACCCTCCTCGCCTGTCTTGGGCAGATAGCTCAATGTGATGTCCTTGAGATAGGCCAAGGCCTCCGCATCACGCTCCGTGATGAGCTCCGCAAGACCAGGATGGTTCCTCAGCGCAGTCAGCCAGAAATCTGGGATGCCTTTGACGGCTTCATCGTCATCCGTTGCTGCGGGTACCGACTCATAGTCGGAGTCTTCAGCTTTGGCAGCAGCATCTCCCGCTTCGATTTCTTCAGTGGTAGCGCTCGATGTCCCGATGATGATCTCGTGGCGTCGTGCATAGAGAGGCTTTTGTAGCTCAAGGTACTGTGGAAGGAGTAGTCAGTAAATGTGGAAAAACAGAGTAGAGATGCAATCGATGAGATCGTCACCAAGTGCTGGGCACGAGGCTGGACACACAGTGGCGAAAAACACGAAAAGAGGGAGCGCAGTGTCCACATACCTTTCGTTCCAGTTCCAAGCACTCTCTCTTGTACTGGTTCTGCAGCTCCGTCTGCTTGATCTGAATGCCTTTCAAGCCCTCGACGTTTCTCCGCACAGGCACGGGCAGTGATTCGACATATCCAGAGCTACGACCGACAAGGCCAGCGAGCTTCCCTTGGACCATCCCCAACATCGCGCTCTGGACTCCAGCGGCGCCAAGGGTGCTGATCTCTTCAGCAACCTCCGCATCCGGCTCCTCTGAGATGTCTGGTACCGTTGGTCGCGACAAGCCCTGCGAGATTGGGGCATGGTTGAGTGGCGTGTTCTGTGGAGTTGGTGCGGTAATGTTGGAAGCGTTGATTGGTACGTTGGCGCTCATCTTGCGTTCGTTTGTCCCTTTGTTATGGTGCAAATGAGGGTGGACCGAGAGGACAAGAGGAAAGAGCAATTTTCTTTGGGGCGCTGACGTGAGCACTGATCGAGCTGCCTTATCCGGCTACCACTTCGAAATTCGGATTTCATGGACCTGGATGCCGAATACTCATGGAAACCGCCGGTGTATCATCTCTCCAAGCCGCCTACAGTTAGCGAAGAATTTCTTATAGAGAAATTTGAGCCGGGAGACTTCCCTCGGTCTGCAAAGTGGTTTGTTCGGCCGACAGTGCTGCATATCCCTTGCATTTCATAGAACATCCAGGTGTTATGATGGTTCAGCACTACTGGTTCACTGCGAGCAACGGTCCTTTCGAATATGCGCTTCTCGTCGACCGCAAAACGAGCCACAACCACACTCAATAACTGCAACCAACCTTCCGCAAGCAGCGCCTATTGTCGATTATACCTGGTATCCTACGGCCTCCTCTTTATCCCCTCCGACATTCTGTTTTGCTGCCTCGGTGCGGGAAACCCCTGTCAAACTTCTGGATGCTTCAGACGGACGGGTAAGACCATGGAAATGATTTTGATTCGTGATGACTGAAATAATGTAGCTTCGTGCATCCTACCCAATAGTAGACCATCGAGAGCGACAGATAGCGCCACACAGTCTGGAATTTAATGCCCTTGGGACAAGGTAAAGGATTCACTGTGGCAACCGCAGCCTGCTAATGCATAAGCTCGCCAGACTCTATTGTGGATTTGACTCCGCTATTGAGATATTCGACGTCTCTCGTCCGGGGGCTGAAGGAACTCGGCTACATACCTCGCCGTCGAAGAAGAGCAAAGATGGTTTGAAAGGTACTCACTCTCGCTTTGCTTCCCTTACTTCGTCTCTCATTTGTCTCAGGGATTGTCTCAGCCCTCGCTTTCCACCCTTCCTCAGAGCTATTCGTTGCCGGCAGCCTTTCTGCTGTCACGGGGAACATTGCTCTGTTTAGTGAGGAAGACGAGGGTCATACTGGGCCAGTCATGTTCCTCGGTGGCGGTCCAGCGGCGGGAGTAACACAGGTGCGACTAATCTTCATTTACATCGGACGGTAGCTAACTCGAACGGTCTCTTCCTAGTTGCATTTTACTCCACTCTATCCAAATACGCTATACGCATCTTTTCGAAGGAACCCTATGGTCTATGCATGGGATATCCGCGCTAATGGCGCTGTCCCATGCGACATCTACTCGAAAACGGCGAGTAGTAATGTGGTGAAAGAAAAGCGGACAACTAATCAGCGACGCTGGTTCGATATTGATATCGGTGGAAGATATCTTGGGGTGGGAGACGAGGTAGGCCCGCAACATGCACATTTCAATATGACGAATGTCCCTAGCGAGGCGCCGTGTCAATATTCCAGCTCAACAACGCAGTTGCGCCAGAGGTCCCTCCACCCGCTACAAACCAAGACCTTAAGTTTGTTTCCGAGTCTTCGACGACACGAGAGACAGAGCCTACGATAACATTCTCTGCGCATTCAGGTATCTTCAAGTTATTTGCTCCCCCCAAATCAAGTCTGATGATCCTCTTAGACGCCATCGGGAGTGTAGCCTTTCACCCAACCCGTGCGGCATTGGTATCCGTTGGCGGCTCTCGGCACTGGAACGACTCGGACGATAGCGATTCATTAAACTCTGAGGAGGAGGAGGACCAGGCATATCAAGAGGAACGTTTGGCGAGAACTGCAAGAAGGCTTAAATTTGGCAAGCAACCCAGGGCGATAGAGGCAGCGGTCAAGCTTTGGGACTTCGACATTGAGTAGGACTTACAATTGCCAATTATTCTAATGAACCAGTACTACTTAGTTTGTCGACCCCACAATGCCATGGGCGTTGTGTGTCAAGACCAGTCTAATGCTTTTGTGGATATACTATGTCTTCTTTTAAGGAATCCACTGGCAAACAGACAGACAGACGCAGATTAAGAAGTTTCACCCCACTCAATGTAACAGCAGCCAATAGCCTTCAAGTTAGCCGCCATTGGAAGACACATAGTTGGAGCACTACAGTGAATGCATTCGGGAGTGTCAATGGAAATACATAGAAGGTCAGTACTATAATGGCGACGAAGTCTAAGGTCGAATGAGATCAGTATCAGCTTTGATTACATGGTCTAACGAGTGCTGTATAGAACTACTGAATAGATAGCAAAACTAATGCTACTGCACTAGCTACAATCGAGGATCAGGAGTACGGTAAACGACAAGCGAAACTATAATGCGACAAGAAACGAAGCAGACGAGACTATCGGCAATAACTATAGCGAGACCACAAGGTAAAGAGATGCGTATCATTGAGTCGGCGAAGTGGGGGAAATGAATAAGCTTGGCCAAGCTAGTCCCGCCCATTCCAGTCACGGTCGTTGCCATCGTCCGGCTCGCTAAGACTGGCCTCCTCCCCTTCACCGTCCAGATCACCGTCGCCAACCAAAGGCCCGTCTTTGGGTTCAGCACCCTTGCGTGGGCTTTTTCTCGACGCCGCCGCACTTCCACTCGGAGCGGAGGCGGCCGCGGCAGCAGCCGCAGCAGCAGCTTTGACCCTTCCAACGCTGCCTTTTGGTCGACCCCGGCCCCTCTTCGCTCCTGTTGCTGGCCTGGCAGAAATAGATTCGTAAGGCCCATTTGCATTTGGCTGACTGTTGGCAGGGGGCGGGGGCGCGTACATTTCTCCAGAATATTGCTGACCGTTGAATGTACGGTGTTGTTCTGCTGAAGCAGAGTGTGGGCCTGGAAGTGGGGGAGGCGGAATGTACGCATATTGCATGGGGGCTGGTGGGGTTGCTACTGGGGGCGGGGCTGAAATTGAATCGCCTGAAGGGCCTCCATGTGTCCCAGGAGCAGGATACGGCTATATAGAGATGAGACGAGAAAAGTTAAGTGATGGATAAAGAACGCACCGAAGCCCTCGAAACTCTTTTATGTGGGAATTCCATAGGTCGACTGCGACTATGTGTCCGCTCAAAGAGACCGCATTTGTTGCAAAGCTAGCAAAAGCTGTTTTCAGAGAAAGACAAGGCAGAAGAGAATTCTACGCACCACTTTGCCTGGGTTAATCTGGGACCGTCGCCAAGTACCTTGAAAGAGGATGAGCTCGTTTCATAGACCCCGCAATACGGCTTACTCGTGTCTGTTGTTACGCAGTTGAAGCATCGTCTCTTGACTTGATGAGAAAGTTTCGTGTCTGCATCGTCTGTCAGGGTGATTGCGCCGCTTTGGACAGGCGCTGAAGAAGGTGGTTGGGGTGGTGCATGGGGATAGCCGGGAATGGGAATGCCGTATGGTAAGTAACCGGGCTGAGGTGGGGGCAAGGGCTGGTCAGGACGACTGGGGTATCCGTATGGCATAGGCATCCATTGCGGTTGTGGCTGGCTTTGCCCATTCGAAGTAGAACTGGCTTGAGTTTGTGGCGGTGGTGGGTATGGATATGGTGGGCCACCCGGGGGAGGACCATACATCCAATACGCCTGCGGAGGACCACCTGCTGCGAAACCTTCTGGTGGGCCTGGTGGCGGAGGTGCTGGACTGCCACTCCCATTTCCGTCAGCGGTTCCGTTGCGCGAACCAAAGTCAGCGCCGTGGGTAACAACGTCCTGTGCAGCGGTGGCTTCCGCCCTAAGAAGGTAATCAGCGCTCAGATGGGGAGCAAAGGTGGTGAGTGAGCCCCTACATCGATGCAAAATCAGAAGTTGATGATGCGTCACGCGACTTTTCCGAATCGGATCAACGACCTGTCACAGTCGTTGACGACTTTCTGCGAACCATATTCTTGTTTCCAACCAATGTTTGCTGCTGCTCGACTCTGGTTACAGGATGAAACTTCACCAGCTGTGTCGTCACTAGCTCCTTGCTTCCCATGCGGCACGCCTCGGTAGTCTAAATGACTTACATCGACCCTTCCACCCTTCTTCGGTTATGCGATTGGGCGGATAATTGCAGCTTCAAGTCCTTCTTTCTTCTAATGGCTTTTCAATCCCACAACACACGATCTAATCGCCCGGGAAATGGTCTACAAGTTGTCTTTTCAATTTCTGCGTTGCTCCATTGAACGGTAACCGGTTTGAACCTCAAGTGGATACTGTACACCGGGGCAAGCGCTTATCCAGAGCACAGCATATATGATTCAGGAAAGTTACTGCTTATATGGACCCTTGAATAAGCTCTCTCAGGCTCTCAGATTACACTAGCAGTCGCATGACCGACATGATGTTTTCCATCTTCCCCCTTGCTTCTACAGCCCGCCATATCTATATAAGTCAGTATGGCCACGAGCTTCACCGTCGTATCCTCATTCCCAACATGGCTCATTTCCCCGTCAAGCTCTCTCTCGATGTGGCTATGGAGATCACCATCCATGTCGCGCCGCCAAATGTCTCACAAAAGTCCTTCGTCGCACAAACCGAGGTTTTAGTGGACTCCTACCTCGCTCTCCCCACCAGCAAAGGAATCACGAAACTCGACATAGTAAGTATGCCGTCCGATTCCCACGGTGGTCTCTCACCACGACTCATATTGGTATTGTTTAGTTTGTTCCAAATGAACTCGTCGATGAAGAAATGAAGAATCTCGGCCTCATTCCACCGCCCATTTGTGTTCTGCTTCGGTTCGAGTTCCAGGTTTGTCCATCATTTTTGGCAAACACTTCATACACGACCTAACGACAAGTCCCTGTTCCATTTAGAGCAACACCAGTCGTCTGGAGGTAAGAGCATTTCAATTCAGCTGTCGATGACCCTTATTAGCACCAAAACCACTCCAGTTTATACAGAATCCCGACTTCCATCGCATCCTTGCCGAAGGAGACAAGAGCTTTGGTTATTTGGGCAACTGCACCGCATTCGCCGCCAGTGTAACAAAGCATGTCAACGCGGCTCCCAATGTTGGCCAAGCTCCTCCCAGCGAGCGCAACGAACGCTCGCCGGGCGCTGGAATTGTGGTTCTCAAGGTGATCGGGAACGAATTCGACGCTCAAGCCAAGGCCAAAATCTCCGATGATTTGAATCTTTTCAGCACCAAGTATGTCAATATGTCTAAAGTTGGCAATAGTATCTTCAAATATGAGATGGTGCGTTCACAAGGACTGCGTGTCTGACAAGGTGGACTGAGCAAACACGCAGTACGAGCCGATGACAATACCCGATGTATCGGCGACCCATCGCCAATTGAAAGGACAACACTCAGATGGGATTTTCGTCCTCATCGGAGAGTACCTGGTCAGTCTTGAGGAGTTTGAGAATGGTTCGACAATTCATATGATCTCTTTAGGACAACGCTTTAAGTCTCAAGGAGGTTCGTGTCAACTTGAAGTCTGTTGCAACCTGCAGTCGATACAAGTCTTGGACTATAGATATCACAGGAGGCAGCCGTCAAGGAACTGCTCGACACCCATGTGCACCGAACGTCTCCTCCGGTCGAGATATGGGCTTTTGCTGGGCGGATTATTAACAAGCGAGGGTGAAGATAGTTCAATGGCACCATGATACCTACTTTGATTGAATGATGCTCTAACCAGTCTATCGCACTTTGGACTTGCATACGTACTCATTTCGTCGTTCACGGTAACTTGTGGAGCAAATCAAATCATTTGATGTCCCAGATTTTTGGATGCAAAAGTAGGCTATTTGCGTGACACTCATCTGCTTTTCTCCTCGTCGCACCGGTCGTGCACCACTTTACCACTGAAAAAGCACGCAAAACCAACCTACCCTGAATTGCTGCCCGCTCCTCGAGTACCTCAGGCACAGCCTAAGTATTGGACAACATGGCGCCATCCTCGCCTCAAATCTCGCAGGTTTCCCATTTGTTCCCCGGGACCTCCCCTGGACATTTGACCCAGCAGTGGCAGCATCCTCTCGCCATGCCGCCGCGGCATTTTGAAGCGTCCCAAAATAAAAGCGCGAGATAAGGAAACACCCATCGCTGCGAATTTGGAGCCCTGCCATGGCCCCATCCGTATCTGAATTGCCTTCGGAGGCGTTGTCGACGACCAGGGAGGGTATCATCAACAGCATTAAGAAGGAGGTGTGTCTTTACATAGCTGCTCAGGACGTTGTTACTGACCCAGCTGGTCAGGTCGACTTGAAGAACGGACCGTCATACCCCTTCTACTATCCTTACTTCGACACTGAGGAGAAATTTGCGCCGCTCCAACTATTCGGTGCGCTTACTGCCCGACCTCAATTACCGCTAGCCCTCTAACACTGTTATAAAGACCACTCTGACCCTGGTCTCCGTGCTGACCCAGCCAAACCCAACCTGCTTGGCCCAAACACGGCCACCCGCGACATAAGCCCCTACCTCGGCACTGAAATCCGGGGCGTACAGATCTCTCAACTCTCCAAGGAAGGACTAGATGAGCTCGCGTTGTATGCAGCAGAAAGAAAGGTCTTGGTTTTCCGAGACCAGGATTTCAAGGACCTTGCGGCGGACAGGCAAATTGAGATTACCCAGTCTGTCTTGTTGCCTCTCCATTTCATTGACTTACGGCCACACAGACACTATGGTCCAATCCACCGCCATCCTACGTCGGGCAATGTGAAAGGCTATCCGGAATTCCATGTCGTGTATCGCGACGAAGCGCATGATCGTTTTGAGGAGCGGCGGAACGAGCGAGCTAATAGGACGGGCTGGCACTCTGATGTCGTGCGTTGCCCTGGATTTTCCATTCGATACTTAGAGGCTAACAAGTGTTTGCGCAGTCTTATGAGAAACAGCCCCCGGGCACGACCTTCTTCTTCATGTTGGAGCAGGTTTGTGCCATCATCCGTATGTTGTAAACCCAATCTGACCTAAATCAAGCCCTCGGGTGCTGCTGGCGCCACCCTCTTCATCTCACAGGTCGAGGCATACAAGCGACTTTCGCCAGAGTTTCAGAAGCGTCTTGAGGGTCTTCAAGCCATCCATTCGGCCGTCGAGCAGGCTGATTTTTCTCGGAAGTACAACGGGCCTGTGCGGCGCGAACCTATCCAAACTGCGGTCCGTCCTCCAAGTTGTTTTACTCCGAAACTTATCTCAATGTTATCGCTAGCATCCGCTCGTGCGTGTTCATCCTGTTACAGGCGAGAAAGCGCTCTATGTCAACCAACAATTTACGCGCTACATTGTTGGTTTCAAGCGCGAAGAGAGCGACTATCTCCTCAACTTTCTCTATGACCACATTGCCAAGGGCGCAGACTTCCATATCCGTGCAAGCTACGAGCCGGGAACGGTGGTGGTCTGGGACAATCGCTTGACGGTGCACTCTGCGACGGGAGACTTTGATAGCTCGGAGAGGAGGCATGCAGTCAGATTGACGCCGCAAGCAGAGGTGCCAGTCGCTGGATAACCTGGGCACTAAATGGGCATTCATAATTGACAAACGATTTCATGACTTTACTTTAAGTAAGTATTTGTGGACTGTACCTAAGTATCTTCAAGTTGTCATGCCCTTACATAAGCCCATTTCGGACCAGTCCTACCCCTGAACCTCGTAGATCTAAGTAGGTCTATATATTGTCTGTGGAGCAACATGCAGATGATAGCGCCAATGACGTTCAATACCAAATCGCCGGTGGTCGTCACAATTGAACCCTCTCAATCTTTTACGGGCCGGCGCGACCTGGGATTTGCCCCCCTCTCTTCAGGCTGACCCACCTCAGGCTCGAGAAATTTGGGTGCATCGAGCCGTGGATGATGTTTGCCGCGCCATTTCCCGCCCTCGCACGCATAACGTCGTTGTTTACCCCAAACATCGTGTGGCCCGTTGTGGAGACGCAGGGCCGGAGGCTTGAGGTGTTTGCGCATGTAAACAGTGACATGGAGGACGCCTCAGGACGGGGCGTCGGACAATCGTGAACCGGCCGACTCGGAGCTGTCGGAAGATGTGGACTACTTTGCCAGAGGTGGAGCTAGTCGACAACACAATGTTTGGCCTTTGTTTGGCCACATATTGATCTCTCATCGTAACACTTTGTGCTTACATCCTAACGAGTAAGTATCAGAAAACACTCATGACCAGTGGATGGACACCAGCCATGTATTCAGGAATGTGATTTAAACTTCTCTGCGCGTCTCCGGGCAATGTCTTCCTCTGCTACACACCAGTAGTCTTGTCCGCCCCAGGCGCCGCGCTCCCAGTCGCATTCAAAGTCCGTCAACCCCACGATCGCAAAACGAGGATCGTCAGCGCCTACTTCCGCAAGGCGCGCCCTAAGCAGGTCGTGGTCCCAAAACGCCTGATCGGCCATGTAAACAAACGCGAGCACCGCGAGGCGCGGCTGTGTCTCTAGCAAGCTTTTAATGACGTCCAGGTGGCATAAGTCGAAGAGCGCGAGATGTGTTAGCGCGGGGAAGGCCGCGGCGAGCAGCGGTGTCATCCACGGTGCGGCGTTCATAAAGAGCTCGAGATGTGTGAGCATCGGGAGCGGTGTGAAGCCGAGGTCACTGCCCTCCTGGAAGGCCCTCCACGGATTGAGAGCCAGGCGGCGGAGATTAGTCAGCGCGCACAGAGACTCCATGGCCGCCGGCGTAGGTGTAGGGCTCTAACTATTTAGTTTTCATTTACACCTCCAGGTAAACTAAACGGAAATGGTAAGAAAACATTTAGTAAACGTTTATTACCATTTAAAAATGGTTAAAAATGGTAATATAATAATATAAAATGATCAACAATTTTATGGTACATACTTGAGTTTATAAGGTTTATTCAACTGACAGATGGCATTTTCTCACTTGTAATACTGTTCTAGATGGGCATGTAGGGCAAGATTCATTGCCTTTGGCTTATTTGATACCAGATCATGTGATGGATTCCTTCAAGAAGAAGCCTACAAATGCAACAACTATCTATATTTATGTAGAAGGTATGTCCTACACTAGTATGTATTTGGTAGCCAGATATATACCTGGTAGTACTGACCCATTTCCTTCAATTAGGCCGGTCACGGTCACATCGGATTTTTTGGCCGAAATATTTCGGCCGGTCACGGGTCACAGCCCATTCTTTTGGTCCCAAAGTGTCCCGATTGGGAAGGATTTCAAAAATTTCGGGCCTTCGGCGCGCTGAATTTCCCATTTAGGTAAGAGGTCACACAAAGTTCGGCCTCCGGCCGAATTGGACATTTCGGCCAAATGGTCACGGGTCACAGGCCCGCTGAATTGAACAAAATGGGTCAGTAACATACTTATGAGCATGTCTGCTATTGTTATCAGGGAATAACCATTTAAACCATTTGTTTTCATTTATTTACCATTTACATACCATGGTAAACTAAATGAAAATAAAAACGGTTATAACCGTGTACAAACGTTTGTACACGGAAATGGTTGGAGCCCCACATAGGTGCCGCACCCCCAGCCCACACCGCAAGGTCGCACAGATGCGGGAAGGTGCGGGCAATGTCCGGGACGGTGTCAGAATCGCGCGTCGTCACATCGACGGCAAGATACTGCGTCAGCAGGCGGCTGTCGGGGAGGGCTTCGACGCGCTGCCAGAGCGCCGCCCATGCCGCCGCGTCTTGAATGAGCTCCACACAGTAGCGCAGTGGGGTGATCCTGCAATATCAGTAAGTGCCAAGTCTTTGTGTGGGAGAAAACTTACCAGAACTGGACGCGCCGGGCAACCAGGACCAAGGTGGACATCATGTCCTTGTCTCCTGCGGCCGCAAGCTCGAAGATCCTCTTCTCGAGCTCGGGAGGGAACACTGGCTCCGTCGTGGTAATAGACATGTGCAGAGTGTCATGGCTTATGTCATTGATGGGCAATGCTAATTAAGTAACTTGGATATGACACAAGCTTTTTTATTATTATTATAAGTATGACTCAAGGGAGACTGACGAACGGTGTACAAACTGATTAGCAATACTTGAGCCAAACATGTAAGTCCTTGGTCATTTAAAGTTGAAACCAATTATCATTATTTATACTTAACCAGTAATGCTAGTAGTACTTATAATTAGGCAGATCTTTTTTAAACAACTCAAGGTAGAAGAAATTGTATCAAAATGTGATTATATTCATATTTGAAACTACTCTGAAATGGGACTCACTAGCATACAGATTATTTAAATTCAAATGAGTGAAATACTCATTGAATCAAGCATTACTATAGTATTTTATTCAATTTTTATGGCACATGTCCCACTTCCTTGATTATGTCAGGGGAACCTCCCTTTCGGCCCGGAATCGACCCGATTCCGACTCCGGTGATCGCATCACCACCATCAATCGCATCACCGCCCCCGCCTGGCGATCCCCCTGGGACCTGGCCTGCGACATGGCGCAGGCATACTGCACGGAGCAACGATCAACCTTGGCGCGTCAAGAGCGCAGTATATAGTTCAGCTACCTAGCAGGCGGACCCTTAGAGTTTCTTCTCTTTGGATCCTCCCCTGCTAGGTCAGCTTCCTTTGTATTTGCTTACTGTTATTCACTCTTTGGATCCTCCCCTGCTAGGACCTTGATCTCAGGCCTCCGGGGTTGCCCTTACAGCAGAAGAAACTCTCTACGGGATCAACCGGACAAGATTGCTAGGTTCGGCGCTGACTCAGGCTCGGAATACGAGTCCGTTCCGCCCTCGTCACCGCCCCTACCACTTGTCCCCTCCTCCTCTGTCACTCCTGTCGTCCCCGCACCTGTCATGCCCTCCGGAGCTACTCCTGACGCTGACACTCGGCTGGATGCACTCGAGGCGAAAATCGACCGCCTAACTGAGGCCCTTACTCTTCTCACCACCCAGGCTTCCGCTGCCGCTGCCGCCGCTAATACTGCTGGCGGACCCCAAACAACACCACCCCCGGAGACATTGATTCCGACTCCGACTCCGGTTCAGGGCGATTCCGAGGCCCTCTTTGGCGACATCAACCTCGCCTCAAAATTGGTCTTACGACCAAACCCTCCGTTCACCTTCAACGGCGATCGGAAACGCGGCCGCGCGTTCCTCTATGCGGTCCGCACCTACGCCCGCCTTGCCCCTGAGGCCTTTGTGGTCAACGGAGAGGCGAGTGAGGAAAAGGCCGTCCGCTATGCCATGTCGTTTATGGCAGAAGGACCCCTCAGCAATGGGCAGAGCGCCACGGAAGCAAAGCCCCGTTTCCGTTTCCGTCCTGGGGCTCGTTCGTTCCGAGTTTCGACTCCGGTTCGTCGAGGAGAACGAGCAAGATCATGCTCTCTCCAAACTGGAGACTTCCGCCTATCACATGGGCACAAAGGATGTCTACCAGTACACCGACGACTTCGAGGACCTGATGGACCTCGCCGGATTCGAAGACGCGTTGGTCAAGGTGACCAAGTTCCGCCACGGACTTGACCCCCTGATCAACAACGGAATCACGTCCTCGAACGACCCCCGGACCTCCGGGACTACCTTAGCTGGCGCACCCGGGCCTTCCGTCAATACGAGGCCCTGGTCCGGGCCAAGCTGATCAAGTCAGCCGCCCCCAAGACGCCTAGCGGTTTGATTCGGACTCCGTTTCCGGTCAACCGCATCCCGGCTCCGGCCCCTTTCCACCCGGTGGCTCCGGTCGTGCCACCCCGCGGCCCGCGCCCCGCTCCGGTGCCTCCAGCTCCCGTCCCCATGGAGTTGGATCGCACTAGGGCTCGGGGTGCCCCTCGTCGCGCCTGCTTCAGGTGCGGCGACCCAAACCATCTCGCCCGGGATTGCCCCTCCCCGCGGACGTCCGCTCAATGGACATCCTCGATGAGGTGATCCAACAACTTCGGTGACGAGATGTTAGCGGAGTTGATTGCCCGCTACTCCGACACAGCTGCCCTGCCGGAATCAACAGCGGAGTTGATGGCTGGGGAGGATTTTGTCCCCGCGACGAGTGACCGGTGTGCCCTCGTTCGCGTCCATAAATCGTTTCGCCCCCTTGTATGATGAATGCACTCATTTGCCCTACAACGAGCCAGAAACGAAAGACATACCCTCCCCATCAATTTCCGATAAGGCCCCATCAATTTCCGATAAGGCTGCATCAATTTCCGATAAAGCCCATCAATTTCCGATAAGGCCTGTCACCCACCTCCGTCGCCTCACTGCCTGGGAAAAGAAATTACCCAAGCAGTACACTGTTGCTGCTGCCCCTGGAGTGAACTCCCTCCACCTCCCGTTGGAGCTAGAGTCCACTACCAGCGCACTCAAGCTCTCGCTTTCGGTCTGGTTGACTGTGGTGCCACCTCTGATTTCATCGACACAAACTATGTCACTAGGAATGGCATTCCAGTCCGCACTCTGGCGCAACCGATTCCGGTCTTCAACGTCGATGGCACTCCAAATGATGCTGGCTCTATCAACCAGATCGCGGACTTGGTCCTACGCTACAAAGGCCATTCCGAGCGTGTTCAACTCGCCGTCACTCATCTTGGTAAACAAGACCTCATCCTGGGGTACTCCTGGCTGCGAAAGCACAACCCAGAGATCGATTGGGAAACCAAGGAGGTCAAGATGACACGGTGCCCCCGTGGTTGCTCCACCTGCCGCGAGGAAGAACGCGTTGAACGGACTGAGCTGCGGCGACTCCAGTTACTCCAGAAACGGCTCCGCTCCGGCCCGTTCCCCTCGATCTGCGCCATGGACCTCTCTGGGCCTGACGACGGAGACAATTCCATCTCCGGTGATGACTCCGGCCTGCCTGATCTGATGCTGGACTCCGATGACGAGGATGACGATGGCCAGCTCGAAGATGATGACCGCATCTTCTACACGTCTTTCCGTCCCGCAGAAGAGATACGCGCTGGCAGTACTGTCTCGCAGCGCCTGGCCGAAGCCTTTGCCAGGAACTCCGCCCCTCCGCCCTCTGACATCCCGGACTGGGCTAAGGAGTTCCAGGACGTCTTCAACAAGGAGTCCTTCGACACGCTACCGGAGCGGAGGACCTGGGACCACGCCATCGAACTCGTCCCCGATGCTAAGCCCACTAACTGCAAGGTGTACCCCATCTCGCCCCTTGAGCAACGCGAGCTCGACGTGTTCATCGAGGAAGGGCTATCCACGGGACGGATTCGCCCCTCCAAGTCTCCGATGGCGTCTCCGGTCTTCTTTGTCAAAAAGAAGGACGGCGGACTCCGCTTCGTCCAGGACTACCGTGCTCTCAACGCAATGACTGTCAAAAACCGGTACCCCCTTCCGCTGATCAACGACCTCATCAACCGGCTCAAAGGTGCTCGTTACTTCACCAAACTCGACGTCCGTTGGGGCTTCAACAACGTCCGGATCAAGGAAGGTGACGAGTGGAAAGCGGCTTTCCGGACTAACCGAGGCCTGTTCGAGCCCTTGGTGATGTATTTCGGCCTGACAAACTCTCCCGCGACGTTCCAAACGATGATGAATGACATTTTCCAGGACCTCATCCTCTCCGGAGACGTCATGATCTACCTTGACGACATCCTGATCGCCCATTCCGACCTCTGGAAACACCGGCAGATTGTTCAGGAGGTCTTGCGGCGACTCCGAGAGCACAAGTTGTACCTCCG